AATGGTATGTTTATTCTGTACGACGTGGTTTTCAATTCATGATTTTATTTAGAAGTATTATCACCTGTAAGGTTCATACTATTTTTGACTTAATTGTTTCAGCCAAGGAGCATGTTGTTGGCTGGTATAGCACTGGTCCAAAACTTAGGGAAAATGACCTGAACATCCATGGGCTTTTCAATGAGTAAGGACATTACCTTTTTTTTATCCTATTTGACCTTTAGTTTCTTTGAGAATTATTTGATCTTTAGTTTGTCAACATGAGAATCTGTCGTGATCGATTATGCCTGGATGCTTTTTTCAAGCTACAAGCTTTACTTATCAAATGAATCTATTTGAGGGAACGGGAAACTACAAAAAGAGAAATTGGGGACAGAACTGCTTACTACACAAGTGAGGGGTATACCTAAAAAGAAAAACAAATTAATAGACTTGCAAGCAAAAAGTCAATGTCACAGGAAATGGTTGAAATGCACAAGTCAAACTAGTTTACCTCCCTGTTGATCTTGTACTAGTCACTTGATTGAACAACTTTCCTTGTTGACTTCCCAACCCCCTTAAGGCAATTTAAATAGCATCTTCATGGATATACAAAACTTTCAACTCAAAACTCCTTTTTGGGGGATAAGGTACTTTCAACTCTAAACAATTTTTTTTTCAAGTCGAGTTTCATGGAATTAAATCGCCTTGATGGTGCCAAACTCAAAACAACTATGTGGGAGTTATGGATTGTTCTTTCCCATTTGCTACAAATTTGGAAGCAACTTATATGCAAAAGTTGGGTAGATGTCTCCAATGGGATATTTTATCTATTGCTGAGAAAGGTTTCCCAATATATGAAGGTGGGTATGTGGGGAGTACCATTCCATCTGCAATTTTTTAAAAGCCCTCCTGAACTATATCAGTGCCTCACATCCTTTTTTTAATTTTTATTTTATTTTTCACACCTTATCTAAGTCTTCAAAAAGTCTTTGGCTACTTGCCATGTTGTGATATTTCAATTTTCAGAAAAGTTCCATTATTTTTCTCTAAGCTGAACTGCTGGAGGAACAAATAGTAAGAGCCAGAAAGCTTTATGGGTTACTGAAGGCGGTAGTAACATAGACTTCTCAGTGCTAAAGTCAATAAATTCTGTACATCTTATGAAGAATAGGTTTCCCGTTCTCTTTAGGTTCTATTCAATGTGTCTTTTCTGTTAAGGCCATGTGATTTCTGTATGAATTTTCACAAAAAAATTTCATCCTCGTTTTGCTCACTTTTTCACCTGCTATAAGCCCTGCTCTGCGCTGATGCACCTTAATGAGCAGGTGGCCTACCAAGTTTTATGCTGGTCATCCTAGGAAAAATTGTTTCTTGTCTCCTGGATTGCTTTTCTCTGAACAAGCTAGTCTTAAGGGCTAGCAAGAACATTGCTAAATCGACCTGCCCAAGCCAAAGAAGCCAAAAGTCCAGCTATGCTGACTGTTAAACCTTTCAAAACCAGCCTAAACTGAACTAGCCATGAGATACAGACTACAGTGTAAGCATATATATATATATATATATATATATATATGATTGGGTAAATAATGTAAATTACGGGGTACAAATTAGAAAGTTGCTTAAAATTGCTCCTCTTTATTTGTTCAAGAGAGTAAACTTCTTTGACTTGTGGCAACGATGTCTTAAGCATTGTATCTTTTGTGCTATAACCCAAATGTGCTGCTTATTATTGCTGGTGTTATTGCAGCTATGTTCCCACTCCAGTCTTGGTTATAATTGACGTCCAGCCCAAGGAGCTAGGAATACCAACTAAGGCATACTATGCAGTTGAGGAAGTTAAAGAGGTAACGACTTAGATTAGCAGTTGATCATTTCTACGAGGGTTTGGTGCTTGTTGACATTCATAAACTGTGTGCTATGAGCTTGATGTGCTGGACGGGTAAATTTGCAGAATGCAACTCAAAAAAGCCAGAAGGTGTTTGTGCACGTACCTTCAGAAATTGCTGCTCACGAAGTTGAAGAAATCGGTACAACTTCAAGCTTGTCTTTTTGTTCTGTAATTTACTATTGTTTTACTTGTAAAATTTTAACTTAAAGCTTCTATTCTTTTTCTTGATTTTGTAAGTAGTTTCCCAATCTTCTCCATTGCAAGTGACATTTACATGCGTATATGCATTAAGAATTTACTTACCATGTATTCTAATTGACAGGTGTTGAGCACTTGCTAAGGGATGTGAAAGATACTACAATCAGTACTCTTGCAACTGAGGTTTATTTCTGAACCTTCTTATGACCTTTTTACATTAAAAAAATAGACAATGATAAGTTTGGCTTCTTAACAAGTAGAGGGCAATAAGAACTTTGAACACTTCCAATCCAGGTAACTGGGAAATTAGCAGCTTTGAAGGGATTGGATGCTCGACTTCAAGAGATACGAAGTTATCTAGATCTTGTCATTGATGGGAAGCTTCCTTTGAACCATGAGATTCTATACCATTTGCAGGTTACCATTGCTATAAACTTTCCTTCTCTTTTTCTGACGTCATAGTCAGTCTTTTAGTTGCTGATTTCTATTTTTCTAAGGTTGTTGATGTTGGTAAGGAATTTTTTTTGTAAAAAGTTTAATGAATTTGTAGGTCTAGTTCAAGCAGCTTTCTCTGTTTTTAAAATACAGTTTTCAATGCTTAAGGACCTTATTTAAACAAATTAAGCTGCTAGATTTTAGGAATATCTTGTCCTTGGCTACAGGTTTTCTTTAAAGAATTTTCTGCATGGCAGTTTGGTTGACAGACGGCGATTGCTTGTTGCAATCTTCCCGAATCATTCTATGGTGATTTTTCTTTTAGTAATATGTTGGAAATAACTTTATTACTTTAGGCACCAATTGTAATATTAGATCGAGTCTATTACTACCACATGAATTTTAACATAAAGCGCTGAAGTGACTCTTGTTCTGCACTTAAACGAAAGTGTTTCTATCTGTTGATCCGGCAGCTGCTGCCAATGTTTTGTTCGTTTTATTGTGGTGCAGATAGTCTGATTTTTAATCAACTCTCCATCCAATTCCAAGATGCTAACATGTTGAACTTGAAAAAACTTCTTGCAGGATGTCTTCAACCTACTGCCAAATCTAAATGTTGCTGAATTAGTTAAAGCATTTTCAGGTAAATTAGCTGGAATGCCATCTTTGTTTCAACAACAGAATCTCTACCACGTTATGTTGTCTTTTGACCTTTTGAGTTTCCATTCAATTCCTTCTTGCAGTGAAAACGAATGATATGATGTTGGTCATATACCTATCTTCACTTATCCGAAGTGTAATTGCTCTCCATAACTTGATCAACAACAAGGTACATTTTAATCTGTAGTTCACTTGTTTGTTTGTCATCATTTTTAGAAAAAAATCTGTTGTGCAAAGACTAACACTGATCTAAATGAGTGTTTATGACTTATAAATAAATAAAAAGAGAGAGAGAGAGAGAGAGTTCCAGCGACTAGTTCAGTTTGTCAGTGGCACGGCTTTTAGTTTCCACAACAACCAAGCATATGGTTAGAAACGGATGCAACTGTCAAATCTTTCACTGAGCTTTCACTGAGTCGTAGCTTCTGCTATTGTCCGTTTATACCTAGAATGTTGATGTTGTTTCCTGCTACATTTTAGAGCGTATTATATTGCACATCAAGTGCTTTATCTATTTTCTATAGTAACTGAGGCTTGTGGTATCCGTTTCAGATGCTTAACAAGGAACATGAAAAGGCTGAGGATTCAAAGCCTCTTGCAGTGCCAACTGCAGCTGGAAGCTAAGCACTCAGTCCCCCTTCTTCCCCCTTTTGGTCATTCACTGCACAACACTTGCAGCTTGTTGCAATTGGAACCTGAATCTGCCTTGTGACAATCTTGCACGTGGAGGAAATCTCTTATGTTTTAGCATGTCTTCCGTTGGTATTGTTCCTCCAGATTTTAGAAGTTCTTGTCCAGTGGGATTTAGATCGACTGACAGAATATATATTTTTCTTTGTATTAATTGATCAAACTTCGTCCCTTATTTCTTTTTCTAAATTCAGTTAAAAAACAGGCTCAACAAGAAGGTACATGTTGCTGTGTTGTGTATGAATTAATCGCTTAGTACCTAAAATAGATGAATGTGACTTCTTAATTGCACTCTCTCAGCGGGTGTTTTGGTGTTTAGAGTGGCAAATGCCTATTTGCTACTTGTATGTATAGAAAGTTCTTCCGTGTATCAAGTCTCCCCAAGATTGCCAGATATTGTTTCCCGAAAAAGGAAGAGTTTTCGTTCGATAAAATTATGTTTTTCACTTGGGGAAGTAGATGCAAGCTCTTTATTTTGATAGTTGGCTAAATGGCTACAAATCATAGGCCTATTTGACCTCAATTCACCATTTCGGACCTTTAGTAAGGCTTTTTATACTGCCTACCTTTATCTCTGAGGTATTGGAGCGAGCGTATATTGCAGACTGAGGTTTGGAAAGAGTAAGCATATGTTGTAGACGTTCTTCTGCTTGTATTTCCGTAGTGAACCAAAAGCTATGGAACAACTTAGGTGTGGGGCTTTTTGTAGAAATGGAGCTTTTTATCCTTTTTATTAACCATCGTGAATGGAGAGATCATTACACATGGTATGATTGATCTTTGTTACGGATTGTTTTTGTGTTGCTTTATGCCCATAGCATCCTTGAGCTCAGGGTCTTCGGAAAAAGCCTCTCTATCTTCATGAGGTAGAGGTAAGGTCTGCGTAGACTACCCTCCCCAGAACCCACTTGTGAGATTATACTGGGTATATTATTGTTACTTTACGCCCACAGCCTAAATAAAAAAAGCTTTATTTGTCTTTAATATTTGTACGGTCGGCAATTGTGACCTCTAAAAAGAATTGATGACTGCATTAAAAATCAGTGCTAATATATCTAAGACTCCTCAATTGACATTGTTAGTGACTCAAGAGAATTGATGACTGCATAAAAATCCACTGTTAATACGTCTAAGACTCCTAAATTGGCTAGTTGTAGCACAAGATCATCTTGGACATAGGCCGATGCTTTCCTGGTGAATTTTCAATTTTCGAACAGAACGTGATAGATGAGAAAAACTGCAACAAAAACAAAGACGAGTAACCTACTTTTAATAGGCAAAGCGAGCTCCTTTACTCAGAATCAAACCCTCACCCAACGTGTGCGCTCATCTGTGCGTTTCGCATCTTAATCATCCTTAAGTATATGCTCCAAAATCCAAATTTTGTGGTCAATGCTACCTGCAAATTCTGGCTGTTGTAGCTCTCTTGTAACGAATTCATTACTATGCTGGTAGCACTCCTCATCCCCCAAAAGGTTATAACAAAAAAAACTAAATATCACAGGTATTAAAGGAGTATAGAAGTTGAAACTGAAGAATTGCATTCTCATCTCTAGATTCAATTCAATTACTAACTTACTTAGCTTGCAGCCTCAATAATACGCCTTCATTGACCATGTTTAATCTGGAAATTAACTTTCTTATCCATCCATTGATCCAATTACTCCTTACATTACCAAATTCAGCCTCTTACCTCTGACTTTATAACTTTTGAGTGATCATGCTCATCTTGCACCAATCAATTAAATACCTCAAACTAATTAAGCGGTTGACATATAACTCGTTTGTATCCATCCCACTCTTTCTAGACCCACTTTATTCTCAAAGACCGACATTCTGCTATTGTATTTGAATTGTCTAACAATCCCCTTGCATCAGCTATTAATGGAGCAAGATATCTAGATATGTAGGTATATCTATACGATCTACACTGTTATCGAAATAGAAGATCAGGCTATCAGCAAAATACTAAAAAGGTTACCGGTATTAAATTTGTAGGGCAAGACCATCATTCACAAGCACTCATATGATGCATCTTAGAACAACAACAACAACTGACCCAGTTTGATCCCAACATGAGGGGTCTGGAAGGGTAGTCTGTACGCAGACCTTACCCCTACCTAATGCAGGTAGAGAGGCTGTTTCCAATAAACCATCGGCTCAGGAGGGGCAAGAAGAAGAAGAGGGAAGCAAGGAAGGAAAACAGTATCCAATAATAGCAACACGGAGTACAATACCTGAGGCGAACAAAAGCATATACCGTAATAAAAATCAAAGAATATGAAGGGAAATGCATGCTACAAAGCCTATCGGTGAACATTATAAACTACCTACTAATCTTCTACCTTAATCCTCGACCTCCACACCCTCCTATCAAGTGTCATGTCCTCAGTGAGCTGAAGCAGCGCCATGTCCTGCCTAATCACTTTCTCCCCAGTACTTCTTAGGCCTACCTCGACCCCTCCTCAAACTCTCCATGGCCAACCTCTCACACCTCCTGACAGGGGCATCAATGCTTCTTCTCCTAACATGTCCGAACCATCTCAGCCGTGACTCCCGCATCTTGTCCTCCACGGAGGCTACCCCCACTCTGTCCCGGATAGCTTCATTCCTAATCCTATCTCGCCTGGTACACCCACACATCCATCTCAACATCCTCATCTCTGCTACTCTCATCTTCTGCACGTGGGAGTTCTTGACTGGCCAACACTCAGCCCCATACGACATAGCGGGTCTAACCACCACTCTATAAAACTTACCCTTAAGTCTTAAGGGCACATTCTTATCACATAGAACACCGGAAGCGAGCCTCCACTTCATCCACCCCGCTCCGATGCGATGTGTGACATCTTCATCAATCTCCCCGTTACCCTGGATAATAGACCCGAGATACTTAAAACTCGCTGTCTTGGAGATAACTTGAGCAACAAGCTTAACCTCTACGTTTGCATCATGGGTCTCACTGAATTTGCACTCCAAGTATTCTGTATTGGTTCTACTCAGTTTGAAACCTTTAGACTCCAAGGTCTGTCTCCAAACCTCCAACCTCGCGTTAACTTCGCTACGCATCTCGTCTATCAACACTATATCATCAGCAAATAGCATGCACCAAGGCACCTCACCTTGGATGTGACGAGACAGTACATCCATCGCCAAGTCAAACAAAAATGGGCTAAGAGCCAATCCCTGGTGCAACCCCATCACCACAGGAAATGGTCCGAGTCACCACCCACAGTCCTCACCCGAGTCTTAGCATCATCATACATATCCTTAATCACCCTAATGTACGCTACCAGAACGCCGCTAACCTCCAAACACCTCCACAGGACCTCCCTCGGAACTTTATCGTATACCTTCTCAAGGTCAATAAACACCATATATAAATCCTTCTTCCTTTCCCTGTACTGCTCCACTAATCTCTTTACCAGATGAATCGCTTCCGTAGTCGAACGCCCCGACATGAATCCAAACTGATTCTCGAAAATAGACACGCACCTCCTCACCTTGGCCTCCACCACTCTCTCCCAAACCTTCATAGTGTGACTCAATAACTTGATACCCCTATAATTGTTGCAATTTTGGATATCACCCTTGTTCTTCTAAAGCGGAACCATTGTACTGCACCTCCATTTTTCGAAATAACATTAAACAGCCTAGTGAGCCACTCCAAACCTGCCCGCCCCGCGCTCTTCCAGAATTCCACCGAAATTTCGTCTGGCCCCGCTGCTCTGCCCCTGCACATCTTACGCATCGCTCCTTTCACCTCCTCTACTGTAATCCGCCTACAGTACCCAAAATCCCGCCGATTCTCGGAGTGCTCCAACTCACCCAACACAATGCATCTACCCCCTCCTCATTCAACAGTTTATGGAAGTATGTCTGCCATCTTCTCCTAATGAGTGCCTCGTCCTTGATGCACTTGACTTGGTCTAAGTCACGGGCTTTCCTCTCCCTCACCTTCGCCAACCGGTACAACCTCTTGTACCCACCTTTGCCCTCGAGCTCCTCGTACAAACGAGCAAATGCTGCGTTCTTAGCCGTCGTAACTGCTAACTTTGCCTCCTTCTTTGCCTTTATGTAAGACTCCTGATAAGTCCTTTTTTCCTCCTCGTTTGTACTCTCTACTAGCTTCAAATAAGCAGCTTTCTCAGCTTCCACTTTACCTTGAACCTCTCCATTCCACCACCAGTCCCCTTTATGACCCCAGGAGAACCCTTCGTGACCCCCTAAGACCTCTCTAGCAGCTACCATAATGCAATCCGCAGTCATGGACCACATACTAGACGTGTCCCCCATACTCATCCAGGCCCTCATAGCCAACAACTTCTCCCCTAACTCCTGAGCTTTGTCCTTGGTCAAGTTACCCCACTTGATCTTAGGTTGCCTGCACCCCGCCCTCTTCCTCCTACTCCTCTTGATCTCCAGGTCCATAACATGCTGCATCTTAGAAGCAACCCAAAAATGTCTTTTAACAATGAATATATGTAGAAGAGAGCATGAACATAGCATCACATACAGAAAAGAAACCACATAGTAAATGCACTTATCACACAATGTTAAGGTAACTCCAGCACAGAGGGAAGAAGGAAAAAAAATGATATAGGTAGAAACATCCAACAACATTCAATCATCTCAAATATTATTCGTTACAAACTTCCTAAAAGATACAGCAGTACAAGCTACTCTTTCTCATATTTCAGGGGCCAGGGCGCCTTGGTCAAGAAAGGTGATGTCTTCCTTACTACGACTTGACTCAATTTACATAATGAAGGAAAGAAAAGGGTAATATAAGTTTCTCTATCACTTATCTTTGGTGGAAACACCATACTTCTCCTGAAGCTTCTGTAACTCTTCCTCCTTCTTCTTCTGGTCAAATTTCTTGCTCATCTTCGCTTGCTGGTAATATAGAACTATCAAGTATCTGCACAATAACAAAAATACCAAATATACATCAAGATAAGTATGTCGGTAGAAAAAAAGAGAAACTCTAGTGTTAAAGAAGCCCTAATTTTCTTGAAAAAGAAGTCCAAGTATAACCATCTAGTATCCAAAAGCACTAGCCTGACTAATCCATATTTGCGTCTGTAGGGCCCACTAAAGGGGTAAGCACTACCTACCACTAGTTTCTCCATCCCTAGGGCTCGAAGAACTCCGGTTCAGGGTGAAATCTATTATCCATCTCACCATTGATGGTAGCAAGAATGAATACACATTCATATGACTGATCCTAGCTAGTATTGAAAGCCAATTTACTGATTATTGGAATAAAACTAGTCAAAATTGAGCACAATGGAAATTAGTATTCATATAGCAGACTCCAACTAGTTCGCCTAGTAGTTGTAACTGTCAAACACTTTTTCTAACTATGAATTCCACATACACAATTTAGATAGTTATAATTATAGAAAAATTACTAGTGCAAACTTTATTTTAAAATAAACCAGCGATGTCTGACATGGGACCAAAAAAAAGGATATAAGATAAGTGAGACAGCGGGAAAAAACCCTAAGTGACAGTCATCCAATCACATTGAAGCAAATAAAATTAACACAAGTGAGATAGAGAAGAAGAGGTTTTTACCGATTAGCGACATTGAAGCCGGAGAGGTGGTCGACGGCGGTTTTAGCATCATAAATATCCTCGTAGACGATGAAAGCAGTACCACGGGTATCCTTGTTTGTGCCGATGCGAATCTGCCTAATAGCACCGTACTTGCCGAATATATCGTACATCTCCTCGCTCGTTATGTTGAACGGAAGGTTCCGAACATATAGCACCCTGTTCACCTCCGGGGGTAGCCGGGTATTTCCCTTTCTGAGACTTATCGCCGCCATTTTTCGCCGGAGAAAAATCGAGAATTTTAGCTTTTTAGGCGTTTACCTAGATTTATATGGGGGTTATATTTCAGGTCACTCGACTTTTAATTTGGTTTTTGTAAGGAAAAGGAGAAAATGGCAAAAACGTCCATAAAGTATGGAGTAGGTCTAAAATAGTCCCTTAAACATATTTCTAAGCAATTCAGGTCTTTTAATATGTTATAAAGTAGAAATGGCGTGAGATAGCCACTTTTACTATGGTATTTAGTTTTTATTTAGTATTTTTAATGTTGAGCAAAAATAGCCACTACTCTATTAAAACTAATACAAAAAAATATTTTTACCCTTTATTCATGAGTGTTGTGTAAATATTAAGGACATGGTGTCCTTAACATTTACACTGCACATGAAGTTAAGGATGCCATGTCCTTAATATTTATACTGCACATATGAAGTTAAGGACATGACATGACACTTTGTCCTTAATATTTACACAGCATTCATGAAGTTAAGGACACCATGTCCTTAATATTTACACAACACTCGTAAAGTTAAAGACACTATGAACTTAACATTTACACTACACATATGAAGTTACGGACATGAGGTCCTAAAGTTTAACAACAGAAGGTGCAAATACAAGTTAAGGACATTATGTCCTTAACATTTACACTGTACACATGAAGTTAAGGACATTATGGCCTTAACATTTACACTGTACACATGAAGTTAAGGACGCCATGTCCTTAACATTTACACTGCACATATGTGAAGTTAAGGATATGAGTAAAGAGTAAATACATTTTAAACTGTGGTTAAAGAGTAAAGACATCTCTAATTAATGGCTAACTGTGCACTTCCCTCATGTTATAAAAGTGAATATTTTTGGACTCCGTCAAACATTATTAAATTCTGATTATTAGGTTAAGTTTAATAGAAATAGTGAAAGAAAAATTAAAAGACTATATGTACGTAAATAATTACTTCCTCCGTCTCAAATTATCTGTCGTATTTTATATAGGGTAAAATATGTTTATATTATGATCGCATGAGGAAGTGACACGTGGAGAGAGACAGAAGATAGTTGAATCCGAAGGCAACGATCCTGAGAAAATGATACTAATAAAGATGAGATAAATGCTTGTCACCCGGTACCGTTTAGTGAGGAATATTCTACAGCATTAAGTACACGGCCCGTTACAAGGAATATGACATTCAATGCCTGCCGTTACACATTCTTCAATGACCCTCGTAATTGACATTAAAGAGGGGCTTGATCCTAGGTCCTTGTTCTCTAGGTGCAGCTATAAATAGTGAGCTCTATTATCATTGAAAGGACACGAATTTTCTGAGAAACCTACACTCTATTCAAAGCTTAACATAATTTTATCTGTTTGCTTACTGATATTGTTGCTATTGTCCCGTATGTCCTGCTCTCGGAGGCTATTTCTGCCATTTTAACTCCATTTCAAGGCTGAGTATTATATTTTTATCTAATTCAGCCATTATCTTAGGATCAAATTAATTCACTTGTCTATAAACCACATATAAATTTAATTGTACCGTTTTACGGGTAAACAGTTTGGCGCCCACAGTGGGGCTTGGACAGTTGTGTAATTAAGTTGGTCCTTGCCTCTTTTACTAACGTGTTTGATTATTTGTTCGGCAAAAAAAATAGAAAATGGCAGATAATGGTGTCAACAACGCACACAACCTTGAGACCCAAGGAAATTAGCCTCAGCACGAGGATTCAATCAGTGATACCTGCAGTGAGGAGAACAAGGCCACGCCAGTCCACGGCAGGCGGTACCCGTGACATGTGCGAGAAGCGACTCCTGATGATATTGAAGAAGAGCACGCCGTCGAAGCGGTAAGGGTTTTGCAGGAGCAACAAGAGTCCATTCTAGGCCATCTCACACGGCAGGATAAGGTTATGACATAGATAAAACTGGCATTATCGGGTGATTCCAATAACGCGAATGGACGAGGTCCGATTCCTCCCGATGCTCCTACAAATGAAACAACGCAGAGGGTCGACAACAACACCTCGAGGGGCGAGGTCGGCTTCGATGGGGCCGGGGGGAGCGGATCCGGTTACAACAACGAGAGTGATCCCTTCAAAATGAACTCATACGATTTATGAGGGAAGTGAACGCCTACATGGACCAAATTCCGTGTGCACCACCGGTGCTGAAGGGGTCGGACTCAAAGAACTACACTCAATTACCGTACAAACCAAACGCGACACCAGAATTGATCCCGAAGTGGTTTAAAATACCGGACGTGCCAAAATATGATGGGACTTTAGATCCTCAGGAGCTTATCACCACCTATATAATGGCGGTGAAGGGGAACGATTTAGCCCCCTACGAGATCGAGTTAGTTTTGCTGAAAAAGTTCGGAGAGACTCTCGGGAAGGGAGCCTTGACCTGGTATTCGCTTTTGCTCGAGCATTCCATAGATTCCTTCGAGATGATCGTGGATTCTTTCATTAAGGCCTATGCCGGGGCCAGAAAGGCACATGCCTGAAAGGACGACATATTCAGGATTGCACAAGGAGAGTCCGAGCTGCTGCGGGAGTTTGTAACCCGGTTCTAGAAGGAAAGGATGTTGCTACCGGTTGTTCCAGATAAATGGGTGGCTGAAGCATTCACCGGGGGTTTGAATCCGCGAAGTTCCGATGCTTCCCGAAAGTTAAAAGAAAGCCTGCTCGATTTCCAAGCGACAACTTGGGCGGATGTTCACAACCGGTATGAGTCAAAGATAAGGATTGAGGATGATCAACTCAGTTTCCCGGCGTCGGTTAAAAGAAGGCACCGGGAAAAGAATATAGAGAAATCAAAAGACAATTTTGACACAGATTGACGGTCTTCGAGAAGCCAATTTTTGCCCTATGAATGGGCCGAAGGACGCGACAAAGGTTTTCAGTTGGCGGATAGGTTCGTTACCGATAGAAGAACTGATCGCTGCTGGAACAACAGGTCGTTAGAGGACAAGGAAACGCCTGGTTCTCGAGATTCTTCCTACCCAGACTTTCAAAATATAACTTCAACGTCAGTGTAGTAGAGTGATCACGTCCAAATGCACACCTCAATAGAGATATGAAACGGTCGTATGCAATAATATATACCCAACTAGGAGTCGGGGTCGAATCCACTAGGAGTTATGATTGGAGCTAGGGGTATTTATTTGAAGTAAGCAGATGGGCTATCTAGATTGCACTTCCACAAAAAGATTTTGTTTTCTATTTCTACTGTTAATCTAATAATTGCAAGATAAAGAAAATAAACTAGAGATAAATGTTTTTGAGATTTTTCCAATTGGATTAAAGGCATAGGGCTGTGACCATGACCTAGGTGTTTGCCTAATGGGATAAAGACGTTAATGCTTGTGTAGTTGATTGAGGTGTATTATAGCTCACAACTCTACATTACCTACTTAATACCTCTCGATCAGAGAGTGGTTTTGCGCAATTTGGCTTTCTCAAGACCAAATGGGTATCTACCAAAATAATTGATAAGAGCTCAAGTCGGGTTATTACTCTCTAGGTTTAACCCTTTAATTGGATTAATCAATCTCTCAATCGACCTAATTCCCTGTTAGCTAAGTTATCCTAGACTAGGTCCCTTTTTCTCAAGTAGAGACTAAGTCAAATAGACATGAATCAATGTTTGCAACCATAAATTCTACAATTGAAGCATGAACTAAGCTAAATAATAATACCCAATCATAAACAAACACTAAATTAATCACCCATAAGGTTTACACACTAGGGTTGGATCACAATCCTAGTAGAAGTCTAGCTACTCATGATAGAAATTACAGAATATAGAGAAGAAAAACTAATTAAACTCATAATGGAAGATTAAAATAAATAAATCTAATGTTAAAACACCAAAATAATGCAAAACTTTCTAAAGTAGTAAAGAAAAACGGCTACAGCAACTTCAAATGTTCAAAACTTGACCTAATTTATGAAACTCGTCTATTTATACAGGGCTAAAAATCTCGGATAAAAATGCCCCTCGGCAGGTTCTGCGGCCGCACACTTCCATGTGCGGTCCGCAAATTTCTTCATTTGGTAGTAAGTGGAATTCTGCGGCCGCACATTTTTGAACTGCGGCCGCGATGCAATCTTCTATGGTCCGCACAGTTTAGGACTGGCTCCTAGACTTGGTCTTTCTGCATACTCTCTGATCTTCGACTCTTAGCCCAGCTTTGCGGCCGCACAATTCATGTGCGGTCCGCCCTTTGTGCAAAGTTCTGCTAAAATCTTCCTCTTGGTTTGCGGTCCACAATTTCTTCTGCGGACCGCACATTTCTGCTTGTGCGCCCTTTATTGCCTTATGCTTCGGTATACTCCTTTTTGAGTCGGATTTCATCTTGGGAGATCAACTTCCATCATTCCTGCAATTTTCACAATTTCATTAGTTTTGAAAACACAATTCGACATTTTTGGGTTAAGACAAGAGCTAAAAGGTGCTAATAAGCAGTCAAAATCCCCACTTATCAACTCCCCCAAACTTAAGTCTTTGCTTGTCCTCAAGCAAATAAATTAGTTCCCACCTCCAGAAGTTAAGGGTCATTACAGCTAGCCAAGGGTGAGCCATTCACACCTCAGTTGGGACCAACAATTATCTACACCACTCATGCATTATCAACAAGGCGACGAGATAATCATTCATGCATATATAGTTCTAATGTGACATTTGAGCTTCAAGAATTGACTTTACTCATCAAGGACTCTTGTTCTATCATGTAAGACATGGTGGACTCCAAACTCTTCCTCCTCTACTTTCCATTTGCGAAGCTCACTTAAGAAATTAGCATTCGATTCAAAGATTTATGAAAGGCTCATTCATCTCTCAAGAGAATGTCACAATTACGGCTTCAAGTACCATAGGCTTGCCCATCATGTAAATCACCACTAATGTAAGCTCACTCGGCTCGAAATCAAGTAGGACTTCTTTCAGGATGTAATGAAGGCTTTTGAACTAGGGTTTGATACAATATGGGTAAGTAGTTACACCTTCCTTAAGCACTCCATCTTTCATTTCTCGGTTCACACTTTGCCAATTCCTTGAGGCAT